AAAAAAAAAAAAAAAAAAAAAAAAAAAAAAAAAAAAAAAAAAAAAAAAAAAAAAAAAAAAAAAAAAAAAAAAAACAATTGAACCCAAAAAGAGAAAAGTGAAAAAAATTTTTAAAGATATTTTTTGAATTGTTTTAAAAGTATATCGAGATTTTATCAACAAAGAATTAATCAAAATCTTGTGTACTTCTTTTTTGTGTACGATTAAAGAATTAATAAAAAGAGTCAAAATTTTTTATATTTATATAAATTAGTTCTATTTTTTTTAATTAGATATTTGCTTATTTTTTTTTATATAACAATAACAATAATAATATTAGTATAATAATTTTAATATTTGATTAGAATATTGTAATTATAAATATTTTTTGTTTGTTGCTAAATTAAAATTTTTAAAAATTCTAAAAAATAATATTTATTAATTCAATGAATTATAAACTAAATGCACTTCATTTTTTTTTATAAATTTCATTTGAAATAATTTATGAAATTAAAATACTTAGGAAATATTATGCAAATGTTTAAATTTGTAATTATTAGTAATAAAAAATAAACGTTTTTTATGAGAATATACCCTCGTTCTTAATGAGTTAGCGAAGTCTTAAAAAAGTTACACAAGTTTGCCATTGAAATAATGCAAACATATTTTGTATTACTTCTGGGCTTTCTGACGGGCCGTGTTAAGTGCAATTTCATGCAACTGCCGCGTCCGAAGCTAGACCATTGATTTATATTCTTTTTTTGCTATAGAAGTGAAGTGTCAAATCACAGCTATAGATGAGAAGTCCAGTGCCATACAATATTTTCTGTTCGCCTTATTCCACCTCATGTAATTAATTGTTTCACCCTCCTCATACTACCTATTATTAAATCTCATTATAAGGATACCGTACACACATAAACACACACATACATTCTTCCGTACATGTGGTTACTTTTGCGTAAAAGGTATCCGAAACAAATTACACCTCTTGTTTTCGAATACATTGTATGGCAAACTTGGCATCTTGGAGATATCCGAAATGTACAATGTTCGTGCTCTAAGATTTACGAGATTTTGAACATTTCTTTGAATTATTTTTAGATGTGAAATTTTTCTTTTTATTACTTCGTCGAACATACGATTAATTTTATATGCTAGCATAAACAAGTGGAAGTTTTATTGTAAAAGGCAAGATTTAACGGCTAGATGCACACTAATATATAACCAAGCGTTGATTCGCCATTTTAGATTACTAGTTCCTTTTGTTATCTGAAATTACAGCGCAGCATTTTTTTTTTATTGGATCGACTATTTTATATTTCAACTGAGTTAATGCATTGTACTCCATACATTTGAACCAAGGATAGCGAAGTACGAGTTGATGTGTAAATTTAAAATATCTAATTTAGGAAAATCAATTAATTTTTCATCCAAATAAACAACAAGCAATCTCATTCTTACTATTCGTTTTCTTTTTTCCACCTTCCTTTACTTCCATCATTACCTCCATTCATTCCCTTTTCATATCCTTTCGCCTTCATTTTCCACTCTTCATTCCTTTGGTAAATAGACAAATACCAGATTGACTTCTTTATGATGAATGTTCGGCCCTAGCATTAAAAAAAGTCTTGTCCTTTTGCATTAAGAATCTTAGAGGCTTTCTTTATTATTGACCCACTTCAACTTTCGACTGGGCGAACTATTCGTTTTATTGCTGGCGTGTCCTTTCAGGCCACTTTTGGTATCATTTCCTGGATATTAAATTATACTACAAAGGATATTCTTATTTCAGGAACTCAATTATATTCTGAAGCAAAGAATCAAATCAACTCGATTCATTGATTGATTCCCTCTGAATTTCTCGAAAGAAATTCATCCTTTTTTTATCATTTGAAGTGCAAAGATGTGCTTCTCCGCGGCTAAATGGAAGAGAGAGGAGGTCCAGGATCATAAATTTGATTTCGTGGACGTAGCAGATTTCTATGAGGATAGCATCCTGCGAAAATTAAAATACTCTGTCCTCTTCATGATTGTTCTAAAGTCCATACTGGTGTACATAGCTGACATGTGGACTGCAGGGATTTTGCTCATTTTTGACCGTTGGGGTTCATCAGTACAACCTAAAATTCCTTTCTTCATCTCGAAATGGATCTACGTCGGTTGTATCTTCATGTCATTTCTATTACTGGCTTGGGATATCAAGAAGGCAAGACATATAATAGCGACTAGAGATATTTCTTACGCATTTACAAGCACAATCGCCTACAGATTCTATACTTTGAGAAGCTACAAGTACTATTGCTTCTTCTGTCAAATAAACAATTCCAAAAAAAAGGCGGATGAAGTCGCTTTCTTCGTGTTTTTTACTTTCAAAGGTGATCCCGATAAATTAATTAATGCTATTAAAATTACAAACATTTTTACAAAGATTAACGCATCTTTTTCTGATTTTGCTAGGCTGGAAACGTCTTATCTTTGCAGAGGCACCCCGCCAACTTGTCAACGCTTTCACTCTGTATTCTCTTGTTCAATCAAATAAGAAAAAACAATATTTGAATATTAACGATTATGGTGATGGTATGATCCAACGTCTTACTATGGGTTTGATGGCCTTCACTCTCCTTATTTTCGTCCTATCGTTTACTATGCTTCTGGTTGCTTTCCTTATGTATATCCCACTGTTGTGCCAAATCAGGGGAAATTTAAAGGAATATTGTTGTCATAAAATTGACAAAAGGTATGCGCATATCTGGGTGATGAATGCGGTGTTTGAATCGGAAAAATTGAAATTTCTTCGTTTGTCGTTTCAGAATCAGTGAACTTTTGAAGAAGAAAGTTCAAAAACGCGTTCAGAAAAGACAACAGGAGGCAACCGCGGAAGCAAAAGGGGACTTTAGTCATCTTAAGAACAAAAAAGGTGGCGAAAAAGAAATGTTACGTCAGCCCAAATTACCCATCTTTCAAGATGATGCGCCGTTACTTCCACCTTATGGTCAAATCCCATACGCCAACCCTCCGGATGCAATGATGCTACCACCATATGGTTCAAGATCCGGTACACCAGGACCAACAAGACCGGGTACTCCGGTTTCTAGAAGTGGGACCTTAGGAACAAGAGCCGGCACTCCGGTTCCTAGAACTGGAACTCCAGGTCCGAGACCCGGCGTTCCAGGAAACGGCCCGCCCGGTAGTCAACGTGGACCATTCATGAGTCGTCGCAACAGTAATTCTTCTATTCGCTCTGATATGACGGGGTATTCCGCCTATTCAGGAACAACAACGTACACCCTGTCGGGTCCGGGCTATCCTGTTCCTAGCAGGTCTCACACTCCCATTCCTAGCAGATCTCATACTCCTGTTCCTAGAGCTTATACACCGGCTCAAATGCCAAGACAGCAGAATCCCGGAATCGACGCTGAGAGTCTCTATGGTGGCGCCTTCGACGGTTATGACTTCGACCACGAGGATAGTTCACATACAGCAGATGAATTCAATGCTGTTGTTGACAATTTCCGTAGCGATAACATGTCGCAAACAATAATAGATACTAGACGCATGCCACCTCCTGCAGCATATCCACCCCATATGCGCTCAAATTCGCCAACACCATCGGTATCCTCTACGACCTCAAGTCGCGTTCGACCACAGCAAACACGCACGGTCAATGCTGATGTTTCGGTTTCTTCGAGGTATTACCAGTCTGATCAGAGAGGTCCCAGACAAAACAATTATGCACAACAAGGGGGTGGTCAAGCCAAACCCGATTCCATATACTAACATAGAAAAATTGGATACATTTTATTTCCTTGTAAATTTAAAAGACTTTATATACACTCAAAGTAATATAGTTGTGCTCGTAAAATATATTTTCTGTTTATACTCATCAAAATTAGTGGCAATAACGATTTAATAAAATCGTGGGTGGGTTAGTTCATTTTTCATTAATTTAACGTTAATAAGCATTCTTTTCCTAATCATCTATTATTTATTGTAACATAAACAAATAACATTGCATCGAAGCGGTTAATATCACTGAATGTAAATCTTTACATTTTGTAATTTCTCTTTTTTTGCGAAATTCCGAATCGATGTATAGATTTTATTAATAAAGATTTTCAGCCTCGAGCCATCTTGTTGTGTTGAAATTTTTGGTTATCTTATTAGCTATGGTATTAGGTGGTCGTATTATCATATTTAAGGATCAAAACATTATAAAATTGATTGTTGAATTTAACTTTGATTTTTGAGTGAAACAAGAATATAATATTTAGGTTTTTGAATGAATATATTATTAATATATTGTATAAAAAACTTTAAAATTTTATATTTTTGTAGTATAATTACAAATCAAAATAAATTTTCAAATAATTAAAATAATATATATATTTTAATAAAAGTATTTGTTTATTCAAAAAAGATTTTAAAAAATATTAAATTTTATTATTATTATTTTTTTGTTATAATCTATAATTAGATTAAACCAAAGTTTATTAATCTATTAAATATATAAATATATATTTATTCAAGTAACAAGATGTATACTATTGTTAAACTTTTTTATTACTAAAGTTTAAAAACTTATTATAAATATAAAAATCTTTAAGTTTAATTATAAGAACAATTTTTTACTTCTTAATAGAATTTAAAATAATGTTTTTTTATTTTATATACTAATGTCAACAATTTTTATTATAATATATTTTATCAAGTTATTAAAATATAGAAACCACAAAAAAAATTAGATTGATAAAAGAAAAAGAAATATTTAAAAGTATATGAATATATTAATTCAAAAAATTTTATTGTTATAAAATACTATATATTATGATAAAATAGAAACCATTATTAAAATTTTGTTTAATTAAAATAATAAGAGTAAATAAACTTAGTATATTTATAAAAAACTTTTTCTACTGATCCTTTTACTATACACAAAAAAGATTTTCACAAGAAGTTTTTATACTTCCTTGCTAATAAAGTCTTAATACTTTCTTTAAAACAACTTGAAATATAACTTTAAGAGTTACTTCTACCCTTCCCTTATTGTTTACAAACCTCTTCACTCAAAAACTTAACTCCTAGTAATCAAGAAAAGTCAAGCAATACCTTTGATACCAACAGCAAGAAAGTTTCCAAAGGAAGAAGAACTGACTGTAAAGTACTTGAAGGCCTATTTAACTTTTGAAACAAGAGATATATAAAGGTTTTTGATGATAGAAGGGCTTATTTTTCTCTTTTAGTCACTTGTGAGCCTCTTAGAGCTATCACTTTCATGGTTTTTTAAGGAATTTTGCCTACTTCAGTTTGACCCTGAATTTTTGACATCACAAATTCTTATCAAAAGTGATTGGCTAACATGAAACACGTTAGTTTTTGAAATGTAAACAAGCTCCTATTGATCACACTCATGTGTCTCGATATATCATTGGTAATGTAAAAAAGAAATTTCTAGAAAAAGTGTCCCCTCCAATCATATATGTTCAACTTTTAGGAAACAATTATAATACTGAAAAGCAAGCAATGGGTATGAAAAGAAGATTCAACTCCCATCTTTTATTAAGTTCCGCAGGTGGTGAAAAGGCTTTCTTGGACAAAAGCTAAGGTCGTTAAGCTTCTATCCTGATCAGATAAAGTTCTTGAAAAGATTTCTTTATCCTGGTCAGGTAAACTCTTCCATAATATGGCACTGGCCTCACTAGTAATAAGTGAATCTATACATTGGAAGAAGGATAAGTTCCTTAAGCATTCTCTTGAAGTTACTTTCAGGAATAGCTAAGTTCTTTAAATATCATAAAGCTTAAAGATATTTCAATCAGGCAAACCTCTTTTGAGAGGAAACTGTAAAATGGAACAAGAACCTTTTGGAGGACTTTGATTTGTATTTTCCTTTCTTTTTTTCCAGTGCCAACTTTAGCAATTCATTATTTTTTGGGATAATCTATAGTGATAAACTGTTGGTAATA